AAATATCAGGAATTTGAGTAGTGCAATTGTGCAATATTGAGTCAAGAATGCTACGCAAGTGAAGTATGTGAAAAATGAGAAAAAAATGGTGAGAGTAAGATATCGAAAACATATCCACGAGAATTGTATGCTTACCGGCAGCCAGTTAAAAGAATAGGAACAAACACTTCTGGAGATGAACATACATGCACTACGGTTTGGTAGATTAGTGGAGTACAAGCTTTTTACTTGGCCAAAATATATACGTAAGTTCAGGTCAAATTCTAAATTGTCACTGAATAGCTTTGTAGAAATTGTTAAAGATGATTGTATGTATGAGATTTCAAAACATCAATCTTACAGGACTAGTGAAAAATGTGTAGAGGTGGTCACTATGACTGTTGATGAGTAGTATGGGATTATGATGAGGAGAATGAAGAGGACAAGTCTTGGTAGTACAATTCAGATTAAGGGAGAAGGGTCTAACTTTAAAAGAGATTACATCTATTTGTGGCATGCAAGGAGTGCTTCTAGGCTGGATATAAGCCTGTAATAAGGTTGAACGATTGTTTCCTAAAAGTGCATATAGGAGGCAGCTGTTGGCAAGAGTTGGAATTGATGGAGATAATTGCATATTCCCAATAGATTGGGCTATTGTATATGTTAAAAAAATTTCAGTTGGAGTGAGCAGTTGTTGTTTGACTTAGGGATGTATAACATTCATTTCTAACAAGTAGAAGGGTTTGGTTGAATCTTTAACCAATTTTGTACATCAACTTCACCTTGAAGTACAAAGGGTTGACTCTTAAAACCTATTTTGGAAGAAAACAATGAATGAGAGCCTTCAAGTGGTTAAATGAAAAACCAACCTAACAATGGACAAGATCACATTCTCAGGAACATTCAAGGTGTAAATAATTTGTCTAAGGCATTCGATTCTTCTATAGTGGTTGCTAGAGAGAAGCCTATAATCATAATGCTTGAGAAGATTAGACATCAACAAATGATCAGAATGAATGCTAAAAGGGAATCAACTGAAATGTAGGATCATGATTACAAACCAAAAATTGTGAGTATTATTGAGAAGGTTAAAGCAAATGTAAGATATATGAAGCTATTTATGTAAGTCATGAGAATTTTGAAGTCAGTAATGGTGATAGTCTTTGATGGAGTATGGACCTAATGAAATATGAATGTGATTGTAGCAAATGGTAACTTAGTGGTATTCCATGTCCACATGCAATTGCAGGTATGCTATCCAGGAACATACGAATCCATCTTACAAGAAAGAAGCTTATTTGTGTACCATTCCTTGATGATTTTTAGCATTTGTTCTGTCATTGCTGATATTATGTATTAGTTCAATCTATATAATCTGAATCTTTGATAAAACTCATTTTATGGTTTTTCTCAGTTTTTGAAATTTATTGAAGTTGCAGTGTTTATTCATTAATTATTATCTTTTTGATTTTCTATTTTAATTATTTTATATTTTCTGTCCCAATGAATCTTTAAGCTTGTGGTTTATATTTTTATGATTTTTATATTTTGTTCTGTCCTTGTTGATTTTCTTTATTAGTACAACTTGTATTAATTGTTTCAAATCATGTATAAACTCTTTTATCTAGTTTTCTCAATTTCTTGAAATTTCTAGGGACTCTTTTTGAAAACTCATGCATGAAATTAATTATACATATAAAAGAGAGAGGTCGTATGATGAACATGTGTCTTCCTTCAAGGGGTAAAATAGTTCAAATGGATTTTTTTATTTATTTTTAATAGGTTCATAAATGAAATTGTTGATAGAACCTGAAATTTGTAGATAATAAGTTACGTAATCTAATTTTTGTGATGTTGTACACTATTTTAGTGCCATCATTTTTCTTATCGCATAGTTCTAAATTTCAATGTATCTAAGACTAGTAACATCACACCAATTGCCGCCTTAATTTAATAAAATCAGGGTAACAGACTTATCTTTCAGCATCATATATAACATCAAACATGACTACTGCCCGTGTTTATTTCATTCGTTCAGTTATAATATGCGACTGTTCAAGACACATAGGCGTTCGTTTTCCTGTGTTATATATTTTTTCTGACGATTTGCATAAACATAAAATAGGGCACCAAAATGCCTAACAAATAGGATTTTCTTGTGGTCAGGTTATGGATGAACTTCAAGATCTGGTAATTGGGAGGGTCAATTCCTTCTGTTGTTCTCATCGACCAATCTTGGAGTCTGATAATCCTTGAAGATCTAACTACCACCATGACATGGCATAATGTGGTAGTCGAGTGCTGTTTGGTGGGTAGCTTCTCGGTTGATATAGCCAAGAATGAGGCATCCATTTGCATTGTTGCCATTTTTTGAAGCCCCGATGGAAAAAAAAAAAAAAAAAAAAAAAAATATTTTCTGACTATTTGCATAAACATAAAATAGGGCACCAAAATGCCTAACAAATAGGATTTTCTTGTGGTCAGGTTATGGATGAACTTCAAGATCTGGTAATTGGGAGGGTCAATTCCTTCTGTTGTTCTCATCAACCAATCTTGGAGTCCGATAATCCTTGAAGATCTAACTACCACCATGACATGGCACAATGTGGTAGTCGAGTGCTGTTTGGTGGGTAGCTTCTCGGTTGATATAGCCAAGAATGAGGCATCCATTTTCATTTTTGCCATTTTTTGAAGCCCCGATGATCAAAGGGGGAAAAAAGTCCCAGTCTTGTGTTTTGCAAAAGATGGAGACAAGTTAGTTTAGTTAGCTAAAAGTGTAACTCTCACCATCGAACAAATGTAATCCATTTTTAAGAGAACGTGATTATAATTCAAAACGTTTTCCAACCTGTAAATTGCATTCTATGATAGCGTTTGATTCTCATTTCTAATACACCTTTCCTCAACAAGCATCAATCGTCTTGATGTAGCTTTTGCACATAAATGAAGGTTTTTTTAATAGTCATATGATGAGTTTTCTTCTTGGACATAAATAAGTTTAATTAAAAATTAATTATATACTCATAAACTATTTATTTTACCATAAAGGAAAATCATCCCAGACAAAAGAGTGGCATAAAAGCTATCACTTTGTCTATTTGTCCAAAATTTTTCTAAACCACTCGAATTTTCTATTTCATTCTCTCTCTCTTTGAAAGAGTTTCCTTTGAGCTAAAATATGGAATCTTTGATTTATTTGATTGTGTAATTATGCAGTGATAATTAATGCACTTATTCAATATATATATATATATATATGGATCTTGTTTGAGCCCCATTCTTTGAAAAAAATGCATTTTTTAATAATATTTTTGACATCATTTTAACCATACATGTTACAATAAAATAATATTATACGCAAATTTTAAATTTTTCTTATTTTTTAACGACACATTTGTTATCGATACATTGAAAAATGCATTTTCCCCCAAAATGGGGCTCGAGCAAGGACATGATATATGAATATTTTTGGAGCATATATCATAAAATTTCTTTAATTTAATGTGTGATTTTTTCCCAACTTTTATCTTGGCTTTCCTCCCCTATTTACCTGTTTGTTATTTGGACAGAGCCAATGAATTTCGCAAGTCTACTTCCAAGAAAGTTGCTGAGAATTACACCATTTGCAACTTGGGATATTAAAGTCAAAATGAAAGAAATCATCATTTACATAAAATAATATATAATTTGCATTATGATACTAAATTGGAAGACAATGGAGGAAAAGTCAGAGCTGACTTTTATGAATTAATTTAAATATACATTCTTTGATTATATTGTTGTTGAGATTGTATGAATTGTCAAATTTGTGTCATTAATTGTTTAAACTGTTGTTAAAATCGATATATAAAAAATTTGTCGATTCACAAGAATGACTTATATCTTTTTTGATACCGGTAACGGAAAAAAAAAAAAAATTTAAAATTTGGGTTAATTTCACAAACGGTCACTGAACTTACAGAAAAATTACAAAATGGTCAATGAAGTTTAAAAATTTTTGAGCTACTTTTGTAGCAATTTTTCTACCACTTCCGACCACCGATACCACTGGATTTTGAAGCCGTTGGAAAGCCTACAATGTCCTCTTCAATTACAACAAAAAATCTCCCCCAAACTCCAAAGGATTCGGCGGGAATAAACCCACAAAGTTGGCTACCCGAAAAAGCAAAAATCTGCCCAAATTTTCAGATTTTTGGTGGACTTTTGCGGCGATTTTTTGACAACTTCCGACCACCAAAATAGCTAAATTTTGATACTGTTCTCTTTAATTAGTATAAAAAATCTCCCAAAAACTCCAAAAGATTCGGTCGAAATAAACTCACAAAGTTGGCATCCCAGATTTTCTCCTTTTTGGGATGCCGACTTTGCGGGTTTATTCCGACCGAATCCTTTGGAGTTTAGGGAAGATTTTGGATGATAATTGAAGAGGACATTGTGGGCTTTCCAACGGTATCAAAATCCGGCGGTCTTGGTGGTCGAAAGTCGCTGGAAAATTGCCGTAAAAGTCGCCCAAAAATTTGAAAATTTGGGACAACTTTTGCGGTGATTTTTTGGTCGAATTCCTTGGTGTTACGGAGAGATTTTGAGTGGTAATTGAAAAGGACGTTGTGAGATTTCCAATGATATCAAAATTCTATGGTATCAGTGGTTGGAAGTAGCCGAAAAATTGTTGCAAATGTACCCAAAAAAACTAAAAAAGTGTTTTTCAATTTTAGTGATCGTTTCAGAAACTTTTTAAACTTCAGTGACCGTTTTTGAAAGCGTCACAATACTTAAGTAACCGTTACTGAAAGTTTTAAACTTCAGTGACCATTTTGTAATTTTTCTGTAAGTTCAGTGACCGTTTGTGAAATTAACCCATTAAAATTTGGTTTAACATATTGCATAATTGTTGCCAATGCTGTACTGAATTCCATTAATTAGTTTACTCCCACATGGATAGAAGACTTTAAGAGCTTTTAAATGGTAAGCATTATCAGAAGATAATCATCTATAAATAGTAAGCATTGATAGAAAGAAAGTGCAAGACACCAAAAAATGAAACACTTCAGCCACCCTCATGGTCTAGAGCAATCTGAAGTGCAAAAAGAGGAAGAAATGATCTGCTCAGGTTGCGAACAAGAACTTTCCGGTCTGGCTTACATTTGCAAGAAGCGAAACTGCGATTTCTTCCTCCACGAATCGTGTTTCAAACTGCCTCCAAATATTCAGCACAAATTTCACTCTGATCACCCTCTTGATCTAAAATCCGGACCGCCCGAGTATAGTCTTTATTATCCTTGTGATGCTTGTGGTGATAGCATTAATGCCTTCGTTTACCAGTGCCAGAAATGCGATTTCAAAATCCATGTGACATGCGCTTTTCTGCCAGATACTGAAATTTGTAAATCTCATACACACCCTCTTAATCTCTTGCATTCGACGCCAAATTCTTCAGAGGATGATTTGATTTACACGTGTGATGTTTGTGATGGTACTTTATCAGAAGGTTACTGGTGTTATTATTGTCCTGACTGTGATTTCGGTACGCATTTAGAGTGCATAAAATCTTCTGATTTGTCCAAAGAAGAAGACGATCAAGAAGAGGAAGAGGAAGAAGAAAGCGACGAAGAAGAATCTGATCAAGTGAAATTAATTCGTACAAGAATAAAGGCTGAAAATCAAATGGCGAGGCTGGAGTTTCAAATGAAAATGGCTAAACTAAATGCAGAATCAATGGCATCGATTAGCCGAACTTATTTTTGATGGTTTTAATATCTTTATTGTCTTAATTATATCAATGTCTGTGTTTTATGATGTTCAAAACATCTTGATACTTGTCTGGAATGTAGTTTTCTCATTCCGTTTCTTGATTGTGAATCGGTTAGGCTGATCTTTATTTCAAACAACTAGTACTAAACACGTGCATTGCACGTTTTATGTATCGGATGAATGATATGCCTAATATTTTTAAGTACTAATAATATGTTTGAAATTAATTGATGTAATTAATATTACTAAAGGTAAAATTAATATTGTTAATGTGTGTGTGAATAACATTTTTTTTTAATAAAATTATGTATATAATTGAAATGTAATATTTTTATTTGAATAACCTATTTTTGCACACAATATTTTTTGTCAAGATCCCACAACTTTTCTTCTTTTTATTTTCTATTTTTAGTCTTTTATCAAAACTTTTGTTGTTTGCATTGAAACTTCACAAAAAGTGTGGGATATAGTTGCTCATAAGATAATACATGTTCAGAAATATATAGTCCAATAGTAAGCATTGTTTATCCTTAAGTTTTGTTAATTAACTTAATAAAATATGTCATTTCAAGTAAATTATAAATATAAATAGTATTATTGTAATTTCTTTTAATTGTATGTAATAATATTTTTATTAATTGTGTACTAATAATTAGTAATAATTGTATTTAGTGAAAATTAATTGACTTAATTTTTGAAATCAATAATAATTATTAATTATCTTATTTAGAAGTTGTAAATTGAGTATTAAGGGTATTATTCATCACAAATATAAAAATGTAAAAGTAAAATGTTTCTCGAAATTTTTTTTTTAAAAAAAATTTCAAATATTATTTTCATTTTCAATGAAATCTTTTAGGAGTGCACTATTTTTTAAATCTGTAATATTAGGATTAAAAAAATTTTGAGCTTATATATAATTGTATTGTTTTTATAAATCTTATTTATTAATATTAATTGATTTAATAGTCTATTCGATTTCATGTTAATTATATATGTGGTATTGTTATAATTTTTATTTTATTTGTATATAAGTTTTTATTAATCATATACTAATAATTAGTAATAATAGTATTTAGTGGAAATTAATTGACTTAATTTAAAAGATAAATAATTTTAATTTTAATAATAATTGAATTTAGTTGAAATAAATTAAATTTTAAGGGTATTATTGACCATGAAAATTAACGATATGAGGATAAATGAGGGTGTATTTGACTTAAAGCTAAATATGTAATGGTACAATTAGTAATTAAAAGTTTCTCTTCAATCCCCACTTTTAATATATTGTAGATAAGTATGAAATGTCTATTCTATAAACGACAACTTGAGCTTCTTAAATTTTGTATTGATCCATAAACATGAACTTTATAATCTGCATTCCTCCAAGAATCCATTATCTTTCGCTTTTTAATATGGATAAAGCTCTGTGTATAGAGCTTTTTTCACAGATTTCTTACCAACCCCTCAATGGGGTCGATTCCACGTGGGTCTCGATGTAATAAAAAATGAAGAAAAAAATCTGGACCCCACCCTTTTGTGAGAACCCTATAAGGGTTCTGTAATGTGCTAGACCTGTATGCCCAGCACTGCCGTTTTAATTTACATCATTGTTGAACATAGTTAAATGGAGGGATGACACGGGACGGGACGGGACGGAGGTACACGGTAGCCAACAGGGCATGGACAATGAATTTTGTGTTAAGCGATAAATTCCACATTGATTAAATATCGAAATAAAGACCAACATATAAGGACTTGGGCTACTCTTTAGTATGACAACATTTCAAGGTGGAAGTATTAATATTATATCAGAATCCGTTAAATTCCAACTAGTAATTCGATCCGATTAAAACTCAAAAACAAGTACAAAAATTTTTAAATTGATCTATTCAAATAAGTCACCATCTTTCAAGGACATGTTAAGTGATAAATCTCATGCTGATTAAATAATGAAATATAGACTAATGTATAAGAATTTGAACAAATTCTTTTAACAAGGTTGACCTTTTAATAATAAAAACCCAAGTCTTAATACTTTTTCTGCCCTAATTTTACTTGTGACAATTTTGTTGCTTCAATAGTTATTTATATTTAGGAATTTTATCAATTCTTTACCTTATTATTATGGTATAAAAACACTCAAAATCATGCAGTTAAAAAAAAAAAAAAAAAAAGGTTATCTCAGTCACTCAACTGTTTTTTAACCGGATCTAAATACACAAATTTCATTTTCGTAGACTGCTTGTGATGTTAGTTTGCTGCAATAATTAAATAGTGGTGCAAGCTAGATTTTTTAATACGAAAGTCGTATATTGAAATGGGACTTTTAATACAATTGTGTATCAGGTAAACACGAATTTTTACAAGTTGATAAAACGTTATTACTACACAATTGGACGACTGACCAATTTAAAGAAAAATGAGTTAAGCTAAAGTGATCGAATTGGTTGACAGAAAGGGTGATCGATCCTCACATTTTGCATTTGGGTCCCACGTGAATTAACAAATATCAACCCCTCTCATGTGTGTGTTCGATCATCTCCTATGTTAATCCCAATGTTAGTGTAGCAAAATCCAAGAAAAATATATCAGCTGCATAGGAAACAGCCTTAAATTATGATTGATTAATCATTATTGGTGATGAAATTAAAACTTAAATGATGAGTTTTAGAGGGAATAAAAAAAACTTGCGTTGACAAAAATAAAATATTGTTTGAGATTGTATTGTACTTCGACGTTTAGTGACTTAATGTAATAAATTTACTTATTGGTATTAAAAAAAATTCATTGTTTTAGATTGTGCGATCTTCGATTCAGTTCAGTTTAGTCTTATATTGTGTAATTCAAGAATCCATATATGCCTTATGGACCGAGTCTAAAATTGGGTTTTCAAAGCTTAGCACCAGTTTCTATGTAGTTTGGTTCCAAGCTTGCAGCAAACCTTTAGGGCGAGGCGAGATAAATTTCATTCCTGTCAATTGTATTTTTTTTTTTCATAGTATCAACCATGTAACTATACTTTAACTTTCGATAACTACGCTTTACAATAATTTCAATCGAATTAATTCAGTAAATTGTTCACAATCGATCGTAATTTGATTTCAAAATCATGTAATTTTGTCCAATTCCACGAAAACGATGATAAGATATTTAAGAAATGATGACTTTCAAATGTAAATATTAGTTGTTAACATAGAATATGTACAACTTTAGTAAAATATGGGCGTGTTTTATTTATTGACTATCAGGTCATTGACTTTGTTCAGATCAAATTATGGAATCAGTCAGAATTACCTGATTGAAATTAAATAAATATTTAGTGATCGAGCGAACAAAATTGAAATACAATTACTTAACTAACAGTAGAGTAAAGTATAATTACTGTCAATGAAATTTAGAGCATTGCAATTTCCAAAGAAAGTTGACATTTCTTGAGAGATGCTTACCAAATATTCTTAATGCAATTTGTTATAAATAAAATATTTTATAAGAAATTATTCTTAACATAATCTATCCATGCTTTAATGAAGAGAAGGATTAAATTAATATCGAATAATTAAAAAATCTTACAAGTTGACAATAATTAACGGACGACACGAAACTGATATATCTCAATTGATGACCAATTCAACATGAAAAAAAATAGTCGTGGCTTAGCAGTTTCCTAAGAAATAAACACACGCACAATTGGCAGAGGAAGAGGAAGAACAAAACGACGAAGAAGAATCTGATCAAGTGAAATTAATTCGTGCAAGAATAAAGGCTCGAGATCAAATGGCGAGGCTGGAGTTTCCAATGAAAATGGCTAAACTAAATGCAGAATCAATGGCATCGATTAGCCGAACTTATTTTTGTTGATTTTAATAGCTTTATTGTCTTAATTATCTCAATGTCTGTGTTTTATGATGTTCAAAACATCTTGATACTTGTCTGCAATGTCTGGAATGTAGTTTTCTCATTCCGTTTCTTGATTGTGATTCGGTTAGGCTGATCATTATTTCAAACAATAAGTGTGACATGTCTATTCTATAAATGGCAACTTGATCTTCTTGAATTTTGTATTGATCCATACACATGAACTTTGTAATCGCATTCCTTCAAGAATCCATTATCTTTCACTTTTTAACTTACATCATTGTGAACATGGTTAAATGGAGGAGGGACGGGATGGGACTAGACTAGACGTACACGGCACTAGTATGGCATGGACAAGGAACTTTGTGTGAAGGGATAAATTCAACATCGATTAAATACGGAAATGAAGACCAACATATAATGATTTGGGCTACTCCTCAACAAGGATGACATTTTAAGATGGAACTCCTAGTATTAGTATTTTATCATAGTCCATTAAACTCCTACAAGTAATTCGATCCGATTAAAACTCAAACACGAGCACACAAATTTTAAGATTGATCCGTTCAAATAAGTCACCATTTTGCAAGGAAATGTTAAGGGATGAATCTCACATCAATTAAATAACGAAATACAGACCGATATACAAGGATTTGAGCAACTTCTTTTAATAAGTTTGACATTTTAAGAATAAAACCACAAGTCTTAATACTTTTTCTGCCCTAATTTTACTTGCGGCAATTTTGTAGCTTCAATAATTATTTATATTTAGGAATTTGGTCAATTCTTTACCTTATTATTATGGTATAAAAACACTCAAAATCATGCAGTTTTGAGATAGAGAAAAAAAAAATAAAAAATGAAAGGAGAAGGTCATCTCAGTTATCGAAATGGCAATTTTAATACAATTGTTTATTAGGTAAACACGAATTTTCACAAGTTGATAAAACATTATTAATACACAATTGGACAACTAACGAGTCCTATTAACGTCTACAGTGTTCTTGTAAGAAAAATATGTCAAGTGCATAGGAAACAGCCTTAAATTATGATTGAATCATTATTGGTGAAGAAATTTAAACTTAAATGATGAGTTTTAAAAAAAAAAAAAAAAAGGGATAACTACGCTTTACAAAATTTCAATCGAATTAATGCACTAATTTGTTCACAATCGATTGTAATTTGGTTTCAAAATCATGCAATTTTGTCCAATTCCATAGAAACGATGACTTTCAAATG